CGGGCGACAGACCCTAAAGGGCGGGTCGAGAAAGCGGGCCCAGGCGGCCAGGCCGAGCAGGCGGGTTGCTGAAGCGTGCGTCCTGCCTGAATCGCGAGAAATTCTCAGGCGATCGCGCGATTCCCAAGCAAGTCGTGGACAACAACAAAAAAAGGCGAGAGCGTGACTCCTGCGTGTCGAGGGGGCGGCGTGTGAAGCAATTGCGGGGAAATCCCACGCGAGTGCGCGATTTGGGAATACACTGTTGGGAAGTATTAGGCGGGAGCCGCTGTTGTTGTAAACCGGGGGCCAGAGGCTCAGATTTGTGACACCTCGCTCTCCTTTGTAGAAAACAGGATGCGAACCCCAGAAGAAGCACTTGAATTGACAAATGCAAGGGCCACTGGGAGGGCCAACATTTTTTAGAAATGGGAATTCAGCAGCAACATCAATAGCAACGCTCGTTTTGAGACTGTTCGCTCTTATCTGCTCGAGTGCCCGTTAGTACGTATTTCCGAAACCCTCGATACCCGCCCTTGTCGTGTTCGATCGTACCCCTTTTTGGGGGGTATACCTTTCTTCCCTGCAGGCCGGGCCCCGGCAAGCGGCGGGGCGGCCGCGGACCGTCGGCCTGGCCAGCGGCAGCGCTGATCGGCGACAACCCGACCCCACGAGAGACGACCAGGGGACCGACCACGACGACGACGTCGACGGCGACGACGACGACCAGCGAAAGCGAGAGCGAGAACGACAGCAGGGCCACGAAGGGCACGAAGTAGGCCACGAAGGGCGACAGCGGGGACACGAAGGGAATACGTATTGGGCCACGAAGAGCGCGAACGAGCGGGGGCCACGAAGGGCAGATAATGCGGGGCCACAGAAGGCAACGACGGGGCCACTGAGGGTAGCAACTGGGCCACGTAGGGCAGCGAGGGGGCCACAAAGGGCGACAGCGTTGCCACGAAGGGCATGCACATGGGGCCACGACGGGCAACGAGGGGGCCACGAATGGCTGCAACGGGGCCACGAAGGGCAGCGAGGGGGCCACGAAGGGCTTCAACGGGTCCACGAAGGGCAGCGAAGAGGCCACGAAAGGCTGCAACGGGGACACGAAGGGCAGCGAGATCCCGATTCCTAAGTAATCTGTGAGGAAGTCCTAAGAGTGAGCGCGACTCCTGGGTGCATGAGTGTCGGGAGCGCGGCGCTTGAGTAAATTGCGGGAAATTCCAACGCAAGGGCGCTATTTTAATACATTGCAAGCAAGTCTTCAGCAAGAGAGCGCGACTCCAGAGCGCCGAGAGAGCGATTCCTGAATAAATTGCAAGGAAGTCCCAAGCGAGAGCGCGATTCCTGAATAGCATGCGAGGAAGTCTCGGGCTGAAGCGGGGGCCCTGGCTAAATTGTGAGGAAGTCTCAGGCGGGAGCTGTTGTTGTTATAACCTGGGGGCCAACAACGCAATTTGAGGAGGAATACTTTCCCTGATAAAAACTGGGTGCGAGCGCCGGGAGGGGCACTTCAAGTGAAGAAATACAATGTGCACCGGAAGGGGGGATCAACACTAATTATTCTTCAATAATGAGAGTTCAACAGCAACAATAATAATAACAACAACACCACCAACAACAACCACAACAACATCATCGCCAACATCCACATCATCATCCTCATCATCATCATCATCATCATCATCATCAGCATGACCGCCATCGTTATCGTCATCATCATCAGTAGCATCATCGCCATCATCATCAACAACAACATCAACATGATCATCATCGTCACCAGCATCGTCATCAGCATCAAGGTCGGAGTCATCAACATCATCACCAGCAGCATCGTCATCATCATCACCAGTTTCAGCATCATCATCATCATCATCATCATCAGCTTCATCATCAGCATCATAATCATAATCATCACCATCACCATCACCATCATCACCATCATCATCATCAGCATCATCATCATCTTCATCATCGTCGTCATCAGCATCATCATCATCATCAGCATCATCACCACACCCCTCACAAACACACACACACACACACACTTCACACGTCTTGGACACCAAAATGGGCACCGACGGCCCCAACGACAGGGCCCGCATAACGTACCCGCACCCGTCTTCGGCACACCCTTCATACGTGCCGTGGCCCCATCGGGAGCTCAACCGAAGGCCCCAACGGCAAGGCCCGCAACGTGTACCCGCACCGATTCGGCACACCCCTCGCACGCTTCGTGCGCCTTAGGGAGCCCCTTAATTAGGGAGCTCCGCGCTTCGTGGCCCCTTAGGGAGCTCCCCGAAGGCCCGCATGGCGTACCCGCATCCGTCTTCGGCACGCCTCTCACACGTTTCGTGGCCACATCGGGGGCTCTACCGAACGCCCCAACGACAGAGCCCGCCTGGCGTACCCGCACCCGTCTTCGGCACACCCCTCGTAGGCGCCGTGGCCCCGTAGGGAGCTCCACCGAAGGCCCCAGCGGCAGGGCACGCATGGCGAACCTGCACCCGATTCGGCACCTCCCTCGCACGTTTCGTGGCTCCAAAAGGGGCTCCATCCAAGGCCCGAATGGAAAGGTCCGCATGGCGCACCCGCCCCATGTCGGCACACCCCTCACTCCTCCCCACTGTTTCTTCTCACGTACCTCGCGGTACCCGCAGCTTCATATGGTTGGGCCGTTCGTCAGGGTAATGTTCAATGAACAGCATGTATAATTCACCATCTGTCCTTTCTTCCCATATGGCCATTAGCATGTTGTATCCAATCAATTGATGTTTGCTCGCGCCACGGACCTCAGACTCCCACGCGCTATTGTGAGCTTAGGGCGCTCTGGGAGCCTTGTCTCGTAGCTCTTACGTCAAAAAACCCGAAAGCACTGATGATGAAACTTGCCAGCTTGCCCGCTGAGGGATGGGGGACTCCACCATACTAAGCAACAGCCACGAAGGAGAAGGAGGAGAAAGCACGGACGCCGAGGAGGGAGAGTGGGCAGCGTGGTCCTCAACAACGGCTGCCCCGCGACCGTCGGCTGCTGAAAACCCTGGTCCATGCCACAAGGAAAAACATTGGCCACGTGGTGTGGAAGAAGGGAGAGCGGGACGTAAAGGGCAAATTAACCAAACCGATGTGTGTGCCTGTGACAGGCCTAGAGGTTGACACCAACACCAATGTAGACGGTGTGCCTCCACCGAGGGAAGAAGATTCCGATCTCGGTGATGATGGTGATACTCTGGCTCCCCAGGTGACCGAAATATTACCACCAAAACCAAAGTCTATGATCATCTCATCCCTATGGAGGCAACCCCTTGCGTTGGTGTTGGTGCCTATTTCCAGGCCTCCGAGCCTGTGCATTCCCCATGGTGTTCACAGTTTCCTTTGGGATTGCCCTTGGGTCGATTGACTGGCTTTGGACGCTGGCCCAAGGGGCCCGAATTGCGGAGCGGCGTCCTGCTGTTTTGTGCCAGCACTGTACGCACACAGATGAACACCGGTAGCTGATCTCGCGTTTCGGCCTCCAGAGCGTACAAGGCGGCTCAGGACGAGCCCCAGATCTCCACGAGACCGTCCCCATCCCCGAGGCTCCTCAGAAGAGGGCGAAGAGGCCCAGAGAAGCCACAACATACCCAGCTTGGACCCCAGCAGACCCCCAAAGGCGCGCCGAGAACAAACCTCCAGAACACGCCCAGGGATCGGCCCTCTCCTGCACCACGAATCGGCCCTAACACCATGGCGCGGCGTACTGCAGTAGCCCCGCCCCGCTGGATGATGGATGATGGATGATGGATGATGGATGATGGTGATGATGATGCTGCTGCTGCTGATGATGATGATGATGACGACGGAAATGATGAAGATGGTGACGATGATGGTGATGGTAATGAGGATCACGATGGACGGTAAATGATGGATTTCATGTTGATGATGATGATGATGGACAATTGATAGTGATGGCGGTAATGATGATGAAGACGAAGATGATGACGATGATGATGGTGACGGCTGATGTTTGAGGGTGATGATGATGGTGGTGGTGGTGATGATGGTGATGATGATGATGATGATCGTGACGGTGGTGGTGATGATGCTGATGCTGAGGCTGAGACTGATGATGATACAGATGCTCATGCTGAGTATGCTGACGATGATGGTGATGATGCTGACGATGCTGATGATGACGCTGCTGATGATGCTGCTGATGATGACGATGGTTATGATGAGGGGAACAAGGAGGCACGAAGAGTTCCCAGGGAGGGCGTTGGAGCGAGCTGCGGCGAGGCAATCTGGCGGAGTGTGCGCGCGAAGCCTGATAGGCAGAAAAGTTTCTGCAAACCAGCACCAACGTGCCCGGCCAGGTTTAGGTCGGGCCTGTCCCCCCTTCAGGGGGACTTTGGACGAATAATTAAAAGTCCTCAAATAATGCCCAAAAGATGCCCAAAAATACTCCAAAAATTGTCCCCTGACTATTTTCTTACCATTTTTGAATATTCCCCTGTAGAGGGACAGACCCCACGTAAGGCCAGGGCCCTCCTCCTGCGCCCTGGCACGGCATGCACGCCCTCCCGTCCGAGACCAATGAGGGCCTGCACACCGTCCTGGGGCCCAGGATGGCCCTGGCCGGGCGCGGTGGCAAGGGCCCTGGGACGCACAAATCAATAGACACGCTCTTCGAGGTGGACCCAGCTGCTGCGACGAGCAGCCCTCGGGGGGGTCCGACAAGGACGAAAAGCACGAGGGAGGGCCGAAGCTGTCTCTCGCATAACTCGGGGGTGCGCAAACATGGATTAGCGATCCATGGAGTTGGCGCGCGGTCGCCAGATCCATGGATTGGGGGAAGTGCCCTCCCCAAAATGCCGCCGGTGCCGCTTCGCTCGGCGGTGGAAGTCCGCGATTTCTCATGGAAACGGGACCCGTCGCTAGTCCACGCCCCCTTGATCCATGTTGGCGATCGCCTGAACGACCCCCCGTCCAAACGCAGGAGGAGCGAGGGAGGGGATGCCAGCCCAGCTTCCCCCCCCAGCCTGGAGCAGGTCACTCCGAGGGCCGCGTGCCCTCCACCGGTGGGCTCGTCGAAGATCTTGCAGCCGCCCGTCTTGCTGTCGTGCTCGACCGCTACACATCTGGCCTCTGCTGCACCCGCGCCCCCGCATCGCTGCGCCAACGGGCGGGGGGGGGAGGCAAGCCCTCCTCCCTGCAAGGCGGGGATCTATCCATAACCACCGCCCAGGGGACCGATCTTCGGAGACATCGGCGGGTGATGGTTATATGGATATGCGTGCGCCCCCCTCGGCCCGAATAGGTCGATGTCCAGCGTCTGCCGAGGTCCCCGAATATCGATCCCCAAGGCTAGAGGCCTCAAGTATGGGGTCAGAGTAGATGGGGTCGGAGGATCACGCAGCATCGCCGATGCACCACCGATGAATCGGCGATGCATCGGCGCCGTCGGCGTGGAGAAAATCGGGCTCCAGGCGATGCGGCGCGATCCTCTGACCCCATCTACTCCGACCCCACCTGGGAGGCCTCGAACTCCCAGCTTCGGATCCTTCCTCTCCCTCTCGGCCGTTCTCCTCCCGCCTCCTGCCACTGTGCTCGACGGCCCCCCCCCCCAAACGGTTGCGCCACCGGGGGGCGGGGGCAAAAAACCTTCCCGCTCCCGCTCCGTGCTCCTTCTTCTCCAGCTCCCTCCGTTGTTGGCGGCGCGCACACGGGGGTAGGGGGAGTGAGACGGCTTCTTAGAAGAAGGCTGCTTCAAAGAAGCCGTTCCCCCTCCCCCTACCCCCCTCTGCGCGTGGCCTACTGTGGCTCTCTATTGTGCCCCCCACACGGGGCAGCTCAAAGAAGTGGTCGGGCACCCACAACTCCTACCGTGGCAGGGAATTACAGAGGGACGCTTACAGACGAGGAGGAGGATGCATGTAACTGAGCATTTACTACGTGCAGCGTAGCTGGGGATGAACTAGGTGCGCTCGAGGAGAAAAAGGAGGAGGATGAGGATAAGGAGGATGAAGAGGACGAGCCCCTGATTCCCGCATCAGTGCAATCAGGCTCCCGACTTCGAGGCACGTCACCGCAGGCTGTTCGGAAACCAATTGCTCATGCACCAAAAGCTTCAAGGCAAAGCCAGACCGAGAGGAGACCGCGGGTGTACCATCCAGCACGGCACTGAACAAGCACGCCTTTATGCCCATCTCATCCCGACTTCCACGAATGGGACGGATTACAATACGTACTTTTCGCCTCCTGGCCAATGAACCCCGCAGGTTTTGGGTCTGCCGGGGGTCCCCCCCCCCTGAAGAAAGAAATAATATTCGTCTTTCGCTGGCTGCCGCCTGCAGAGCCGACCTCGTCTCATTTCCGCCGGCTTTCGCGGGCTCTCGGCTGGCTCCCCTCAAGCGCGGAAGGTCAGCCCCGCCAGGGGGAAACATCGACGTGGAATCGGCGATGCATCGCCGGTAGATCGGCGACGGGCCCCCGCTGGCGAATCCGCACGCTCCTGGGAAGCGTAACCTGTTCGGGTTCAGAGAAGCCGCCGAGATAGGGTCTGAGTGAGTGGGGTCGCGGGACGCTGACGCCCGGGGACCCAGATGTGGATCGCGCGCCGCTCCGAGGCGTGGTGGCCCAGAACCGGCAGACCAGCACGCGAAGCCAAAGCTCCAGGCCCGAGTACCGTTTCACCGATCCCCATCTCCGCCAGCGTGGGCTGGGCGCCACTGGCCGATCTACCCTCCCAGACGGGGATATAGGCCGCATCCTTTGGGTTTCGGAGGGTGCATCCCCAACTGGGAGGGGGGGTAATTTCGGGGGGGTCTCGAAGGGGATGGGGATGGGGACGGGGATGGGCTGAACGATGCCGAGGCAGAGCGGCTCGCGACGCCGAAGCTCCTGAGCGCAGCGTTGCCGAGCCGAGGGGAGGCCTCCGAGACGGAGCCCCCTCGCGGAGGCGTGCGGCGGCAGAGCCTGGACGGCCACGGCGGCACCGCGCGGGCAGCACCGCCCCTTGGGAGCGGTCTCCGCTCGCGCAGGCCCCGGGGATCCTCGAGGAGGAGGAGGAGGAGGAGGAGGAGGAGGAGGAGGGGGAGGAGGAGGAGGAGGAGCTGCCGACCCCCGGGTTTCGTGCGGACTTTGCCTGAGTATTTTGTTCAGGGTGGAGGGCTCAGGGTGAAATCCATGCAGTCGAGCTTGATTGGAGAGGACACGCGAGAGGACGCAAGACCCCTCCGAGGGCCGCATTGCCGTAGGACTGTAGAAAGCATGGGTCGCAGAGCACAGGACACAAGAGTAGCCTTGATCTGGCAGGTTCGACCTACTGATCAAACTCGACTGTATGGGCGTTTGCACCTCGGAATCCAATCCGTCTTGTGAGTCACCTTCTGCAGACCCAACCCTCGAACATCGGTCGAAGCGGCATCTCAAATTTCACCCTCTGCCCTCTACCCAAACCGGACTTCGGTCGAGGCGGCATTTCAAATTTCACCCTCTGCCCTCTACCCAAAGAAGATGCTCAGTTTGTTTCGTGCGGACTTTGCTGAAAGAGCAACGCACACACACAAACAGACACTCAAACCTATAGGAGGGGGAATGGGATAAGGACAAGGCGACGCAGGCGCTTCAGGTATGAATTGTCGGACCCCACGGGGGGGTCCCGTTCGAGCGGGGGCCCCAGCCGACAACACACACGCAAAGCATCCACTCCCGGAATGCCACCCCGAGAAATCTGGGGGTCGTATTGGTAGGAGTGGAAGTTGTCAGCTCACGAAACTGCGCCGTGGGTTTCGGCGGCGCGCCGAGGGGCGAGTGAGAGGGGGCAGGCCTTCTCAGAAGGCGCCGGGGCTTCTCAGAAGCTCTCTGGCCTTCTGAGAAGCCGCCCGTCTTCGGACGAGGCTCGGAACGCCTCTCAGGAGGCCAGAGGCCTTGTGAGCCTCCTGAGGAGGCCCGCCCCCTCTGTCGTCCGCCTTCTTCCCTGGGCGCACCGCCGGGGGCTGCTGTGTTCTGTGGGCCCCACGGCCCGAGGAAGGCCCCCCCAGGGATACTGACACCTGGAACGCCCCTGGCCAGGATCACCGCCGCGTCGAGCCCGCGGAAACTTGCCGGGCCTGACCTCCGCGTTCCAGCCTCCGCGTTCCAGCCTCCGCGCTCGGGGACAGCCATCGGGAGGGTGGAAATGGGGGATGGCCTGAAGGGGGGAAAGGTCCCTTAAGGTGCCCTTCTGGGGCCGGATCACCGCCGCGTCGAGCCGGCGGGAACCTGCAATGCCTGACCTCCGCGTTCCAGCCTCCGCACTCGGGGCTAGCCGTCCGGCGGGTGCTAAGGGGGGTGGCCCGACTGGGGGGTGAGGAATGAGCCCTAACTAGCCCCGTGAGGGCCCCTTTTGGAGCCAGCAGGGGCCCAACAGGGCACCTCGGGGGGCCCTTCCTCCACAGCCCTATCAGGCCACATAATTGGTTCACCATGACTGGTTCGTCAAATCTACTAAACAAATGCATCGAGTGCTCGTAGACCGAAAGACATTCTAAGACTCATTGTTGTAGATTCTACGGACGAGACAAGTTTGGAAGACATCGGTGTGATCGCCGATCCCATACTCGAATGTCCCCCGAGAGTCGAAATCGACGGCACACGCCGAGAGTGAAAACATCATATCGCTGGAGATCTGGTCAGGACCTGGCCACGGCCAAGAACTTCTGCTTCGCGTGCCGCGACGGCGGCCTAAGCGTCACGCGATGTCCTGCGAGCGGATAGTGTGCCGCTCCGCCCCGCGGGGCGGGAGGCTCGGCAAGACCCGGGACGCTGACGACTGAAAACTGGGGATGTCTGTGCACAGCGCGCCACTCCCAAGCGCGGAGGGCCAGAACCGCCGGCGCAACGCGCTGAGCCGCGGCTCCTGACAGGCAGGAGCTTCATGGGCCTGTTTTCCACCACCACCATCATAAGTTGGAGGGGAAAGGAGGAGGAGGAGGAGGAGGAGGAGGAGGACCCCCTCCCCCTCCAACTTATGGTGGTGGTGGTGGAAAACATGCCCACCAGAGCCGGCGGTGGCGGCGCAGCGCAGGCGGCGGCAGGCGCGGGCCCAGAGCGTGGTCATGCACAGGAACTGGCAGCTCTCGGGCGACCCTGGAGGCCCCTGCCGCCCGAGACATCCTCAGAGAGTCACTCGAGTCCCAACACCGCGCGGTGACCCCGAATCCCCACCGATTCACCGCACGGTCCACACCGTCTCTGGGGAGGCCAGACGGTAACGATACCGCTACTCCCCAGACCTCTCCTGGGGTGCGTTCTGACCAGAATTTCGACGCGAATCCAACGGTGGCGTCGAGGACCTCCGAGGAGGCCCAACAAGGGGGAAACGAGCGAAGGGTAGAGGTGCGGGCACCTGTTCCTCCTCTGAGTTTGGGGGCCCCCGAGCGTCGGCGGCGGCGGCAATGCGGGCCCGGAGCGTGGTCAGGCACAGGGACTGGCAGCTCTCGGGCGAAATGCCGACCTCCGCATGCACGGCGTCCGGCGCCCCGCACGCGGTGTCCGCCTCGCGCCGCGCCGCGGCCCCAGCTGGAGGGCCGAAGGGGCGACGACGACGGACGACGGACGACGGACGACGGACGACGACGACAACGACGACGACGACGACCACGACGAGGACGGACGACAGACGAGGAACAAGGGCGACGAAGACCACGACGACGGACGAGGACCAGGACGAGTTCGAGCACGAAGACGACGACGACGACGAAGACAACGACGACGATGGACGACGACGGCGGACGACGACGACGAAGGCCGACGAAGACAACGACGACGGACGACGACGACGACGATGACGGACGACGGACGACGACGACGACGTCGACGACGACGACGACGACGGACGACGGACGACGGACGACGGACGACGACGACAACGACGACGACGACGACCACGACGAGGACGGACGACAGACGAGGAACAAGGGCGACGAAGACCACGACGACGGACGAGGACCAGGACGAGTTCGAGCACGAAGACGACGACGACGACGAAGACAACGACGACGATGGACGACGACGGCGGACGACGACGACGAAGGCCGACGAAGACAACGACGACGGACGACGACGACGACGACGACGGACGACGGACGACGACGTCGACGACGACAACGACGACGACGGACGACGGACGACGGACGACGGACGACGACGACAACGACGACGACGACGACTACGAGGACGGACGACAGACGAGGAACAACGGCGACGAAGACCACGACGACGGACGAGGACCAGGACGAGTTCGAGCACGAAGACGACGACGACGAAGACAACGACGACGGACGACGACGGCGGACGACGACGACGAAGGCCGACGAAGACAACGACGACGGACGACGACGACGACGACGACGACGGACGACGGACGACGACGACGACGTCGACGACGACGACAACGACGACGACGGACGACGGACGACGGACGACGGACGACGACGACAACGACGACGACGACGACTACGACGAGGACGGACGACGGACGAGGAACAACGGCGACGAAGACCACGACGACGGACGAGGACCAGGACGAGTTCGAGCACGAAGACGACGACGACGACAACGACGACGATGGACGACGACGGCGGCCGACGATAACGGAGGCCGACGAAGACAACGACGACGGACGACGACGACGACGACGACGGACGACGGACAACGACGACGACGTCGACGACGACGACGACGACGACGACGACGACGACGGACGACGGACGACGACGACGACGGACGACGGACGACGGACGACGGACGACGACGACGACAACAACGACGACGACGACCACGACGAGGACGGACGACAGACGAGGAACAACGGCGACGAAGACCACGACGACGGACGAGGACCAGGACGAGTTCGAGCACGAAGACGACGACGACGAAGACAACGACGACGATGGACGACGACGACGGACGACGACGATGAAGGCCGACGAAGACAACGACGACGGACGACGACGACGCCGGACGACGGACGACGGACGACGACGACGACGACGACGACGGACGACGGACGACGGACGACAGACGACGACGACGACAACGACGACGACGACGACGACGACGACGACGACGACGACAACTGACGACGACGACGAACAACCACGACGAGGACGGACTACAGACGAGAACAAGGGCGACGAAGAACCACGACGACGGCCCCCCCCCAAGGAACGAGTACGAGCACGAAACGACTACGACGACGAAGACAAACGACGACGATGGACGACGGACGGCGGACGACGACGACGAAGGCCGACGAAGACACGACCGTACGGACGACGACGACGAACGATGAGGACGACGGACGACGACGACGACGTCGACAACGACACGACGACGGACACGGACGACGGAAGAACGGACGACACGACAACGACGACGACGACGACCACGACAGAGGACGGACGACAGACGAGGAACAAGGGCGACGAAGACCACTACGACGGAGAGGACCAGGACGAGTTCGAGCCGAAGACGACGACGAACGACGGAAGCCAACGACGACGATGGACGACGACGGCGGGACGACGACGCCGAAGGCCGGACTAAGACAACGACAACGGACACGACGAACGACGATGACGGACGACGGACGACGACGACGACGTCGACGACGACCTCCAATCGGAACGACGACTGGACGACGACGACGGACGACGACGACACGACGACGACGACACCACCGACGAGGACGACGACAGACGAGGAACAAGGGCGGACGAAACCAACGACGACGGACGAGGACCAGGACGATTTCGAGCACGAAGACGACAACGACAGACGAAGACAACGACTACGAATGGACGAGACGACGGCGGACGACGACGACGAAGGCCGACGAAGACAACGACGACGGACGACGACGACGACGATGACGGACGACGGACGACGACGACGACGTCGACGACGACGACGACGACGGACGACGGACGACGGACGACGGACGACGACGACGACAACGACGACGACGACGACCACGACGAGGACGGACGACAGACGAGGAACAACGGCGACGAAGACCACGACGACGGACGAGGACCAGGACGAGTTCGAGCACGGAGACGACGACGACAAGGGCAACGACGACGATGAACGACGACGGCGGACGACGACGACGAAGGCCGACGAAGACAACGACGACGGACGACGACGACGACGACGACGGACGACGGACGACGACGTCGACGACGACGACGACGACGACGACGCACGACGGACGACGGACGACGGACGACGACGACAACGACGACGACCACGACGAGGACGGACGACAGACGAGGAACAACGGCGACGAAGACCACGACGACGGACGAGGACCAGGACGAGTTCGAGCACGAAGACGACGACGACGAAGACAACGACGACGGACGACGACGGCGGACGACGACGACGAAGGCCGACGAAGACACGACGACGGACGACGACGACGACGATGACGGACGACGGACGACGACGACGACGTCGACAACGACGACGACGACGACGCACGGGACGAACGGCCGACGGACGACGACGACAACGACGACGACGACGACGACGACGAGGACGGAACGACGACCGAGGAACAAGGTGCCGACGAAGACCACGACGACGGACGAGGACCAGGACGAGTTCGAGCACGGAGACGACGACGACGACAAGGGCAACGACGACGATGGACGACGACGGCGGACGACGACGACGAAGGCCGACGAAGACAACGACGACGGACGACGACGACGACGATGACGGACGACGGACGACGACGACGACGTCGACGACGACGACGACGGACGACGGACGACGGACGACGGACGACGACGACGACGACAACGACGACGACCACGACGAGGACGGACGACAGACGAGGAACAACGGCGACGAAGACCACGACGACGGACGAGGACCAGGACGAGTTCGAGCACGGAGACGACGACGACGACGAAGACAACGACGACGATGGACGACGACGGCGGACGACGACGACGAAGGCCGACGAAGACAACGACGACGGACGACGACGACGACGATGACGGACGACGGACGATGACGACGACGTCGGACGTGACGATGCGGCGGCGGCGGCGACGGCGACGACGCGTCGACAGACGAACACGACGATGCGACTGGTGCGCAAGCGGAAACGGCGACGACGACGGCGGACGACGACATCGACGACGACGACGACAGGCGACGACGCGACGTCGACGACGACGACGACGGCGACGCGTCGACAGACGACGACGCGGCGTCGACGACGACGACGACGGCGGTCGACCGACGACGCGACTCGACGACGACGACGGCCGGCGGCGTTGACGACACGAGGATGACGCTGCGGACGACGACGTCGACGTCGGGGAGGACGGACGAGTCGACGACGACGCGACGGCGAGACGACGGACGACGATCGAGACGACGACGACGCGACCACGACGATGGCGACGACCAACGACGACGACGACGAGGACGGTGACGGCGGCGAACGACCACGACGACGACGACGAAGGACGACGACGACGGCGCGACGACGACGACGGTGGCGACGGACGATGACGACGACGGCGACGACGACGACGACGACGACGACGACCACGGGGACGGCGACGACGACTGCGACGACGACGACGGCGACGACGGCGACGACGACGACGGTGACGACGACGACGACGACGGCGACGACGACGACGACGAAGACGACGACGGCGGCGGTGCCGACGACGAGGACGACGGCGAGGACAACGACGACGACGACGACGACGACGACGGCGACGACGACGGTGACGACGACGACGACGACGACGACGACGACGACGACGACGACGGTGACGACGACGACGACGACGACGACGACGACGACCTCGATGTCTGAATGTATGTACACATACGCATCTGCCGGTAAATAGCTACTTTGGCGAGGATTGTGCCACTCCGCTGCCCCCAAAGAGGATTGGCTTTCATGTTTTAAATCGCTTCGAGTCGTCCCAGCATGTTTCGTCGACGCCGCACCTGAGGCCTATCCTGATGTTGTGTGCTCGCCGACCCTTGGGCACATTATATCTGCTCATACTGCTCTTCCTCCACTTTTTGCCGTCTCTTCGTTGTCGTCCTCCTCCTTTTCCTGCACGCCCTCATCCTGCTCGTCTGATTCCTCTTCGTGCTTCCCTTCCTCATTACCATCCTCATACTCTTCCTTCTGCCCCTCCTCATATATTCCCTCCCCGCTGGCCCAGAGACGGATTCTGTATGCGCTATCGCCCAAGCACGCACCCTGACAGAACGAGCGGGAGCCGCAGCCCGAGCAGAAGAAGCCGGTCTCGCAGGACCGCGCACCTCGTGGCAGAGAGCGTGAGTGGCGGGTGGAAGTGGGGTTCCCCCCCCCCGCCTGGCGAAGTCAGGACCCCCCCTTCCCCTCTTGTTGTTCTGCTTGCCATGTTGCGCTGACGAAAAAAGAACATGTGTGTGTGGGGGGGGGTAGGGGGCGGAGCAAGACCGGCGTAACGAGAAGGAGGCGAGCAG